AGATAGATAGATAGATAGATAGATAGATAGATAGATAGACACCAGCTAGCTGGAGTAAGAGTAATAACAATGATACCTTTGTTATCTTACTTATGTCACACACAAAATGCCTGTGACCTACAGCCTATATACACTTAAAGAAATTTACAAGTATGTATAAATGCATTGAAAAAAAAACAAATATAATTAATTGTCAGGTAGGGTGCCATTTTTTACAAATATACACATTAAAACCATTTTATAGTGTGAACTTGCAGATGGAATGGAATATAAAAATCTACAATGTTAAATAGTATATTCATAATACCTCTGCAACTTCCCTAATGTATCCGCACAGAAAATATATTAACAGGGTACAGAAGTGAGAAGAAGTATAAGAATCCAGACTGCTCGAAGATTGGGCCGGTCCGGATTCTCGGGCAGTACTTTTAAAATTCAATACAGCATGTTTCATTTATAAAAACGAGCCGTTATAAAATAAAGTCAACACTTGACAAAAATGTAAACATACAAAATGCTTGAAATCATGTTTAAAAATGAAAATTGTAAAAGAAAAATACAGTAAACAAATGTTAGCCGACGTTATCTTATACAAATTAATTATTTATTTTTAGTTTATTAAACAGAGAGTTAAATTTGAATTTTCGAGAAGTCCGGATTCTCGGGTGAACTCGGATTTGTGGCATCTGGATTTTTGGACTTCTACTCTATACAGAAACGAACGAAAATAAACCATAATATATGTAAAGAAAATAATAACAGACTATCTTGACGAAAGTTGACATAATGATTTCATAACACGTACTTGTATTTTTATGCTGGATATGTTACATTACATAATAACAACAACCACTGTAAAACTGAGTACTCATTGATGTAGCATAGAATAGCAACCCTCTGGCACACTCATGTCATACAGGATAGTAATTGTGGAGATTTCCTAGTTGACAACACACAGTAGCATGTGTGAGAATCATTTCACATAGTGATGTAACATGGAATAGGTGTGACAATTGTCTGTCACACTGACGTAGCATAGAATAGTAGGTGAACAAACTGTGCAAGCATGCTTGCATGTACACATGCACAGTCACGCACTTGTGCAAGCATGCTTGCATGTACACATGCCCAAAGGCACGCACTCATGTACGTATGCTTGCACGTACACACGCACAGAGGCACGCACTCGTGCAAGCACGCTTGCATGTACACACGCACAGTGGCACGCACTCGTGCAAGCATGCTTGCATGTACACACGCACAGTGGCACGCACTCGTGCAAGCACGCTTGCATGTACACATGCACAGGGTCACGCACTCATCATGCTTGCACGCACTCATGTACGTATGCTTGCACGCACTAATGTACGTATCCTTGCACACACACATGCGCGTGTGCTTCATGCACACACGTAGCCTCACACGGACGTATGAACGCGTGCAGGGTGCGAGCACATGCTTGCACGCGTGAACAGATGTACGCATGCTCGCACTCGCACACGCACGCGTGCAAGGATGTAATAACATACAAGTACTTGTGTCAGTCAACGGTCGCATCCATATCAATACTGGTGGATCGATGGTGTAGCGGCAGCCGACAGACACCCATGTGTGCGTGAGGGGGGAGAGATTCGTATGTATGCCAGCTAGTGCCGCTGCTAGCATCAAAACACAGAAATACCAAAACACACACGCTTGCTCATGATGTCCTCCTGACAACGTCACTTCCTACGAAGGTGGCTCTCGGCATGTTCCTACGGCAACCAGGGCTCCCTGCGGAAAGAGGATGCTGCAGCATCTGTTCCTACGGCAACGACGGCTCCCTGGTGACCGAGGATGACCTCAGTATTGGTTCGTATGGCAACCATAGCTCCCTAGGGATAGAGGCTGCCCTCAGCCATCCATTCACATGGCAACCACGGCTCCTTGGTGAACGAAGATGCTCCCAGCATCGTTTCCTACGGCAACCGTACTTCACTGCTCTCAGCAACTGTTCCTATGGCAACCACTGCTCCCCGGGGACAGCGGCTGTCCACAGCAATGCTTCTTAGGGCAACCAGGGCTCCTGTTGACAGAGCCAGCTCCCAGCACCAGTTCCTATGGCGACCACAGCTTCCTCATTGTGCGGCGTCTGCAGCCGGCGTCGGTAACGCGCTGCGCTGTATGCGCCGGTCACATGTCAGCGACTGCGGCGGCGCCCCCGTGGGAATCGCGCTCCCATTGAGTCTCGCAGAACAAAAGCCGCCGCGGCAATCGGGCGCGCACAAGGCCAGCTAGCGCGTTCAGTCCCGTTACTTCCCTCCCGCAGGACGAAGTGAGGCGGCGCGCTACCGCGGGGATTACGCGGGTGGGAGGCGAAGGGACGCTGAGCGCGCTGGGGGAGGCGAAGGGACGCCGCCGCCCACACAAACGCCCAGCGTCTTTACAAACGGGGCGACGCGGGGCTGAGCCCCAGGGCTGGACGCAGGGCGCAGTACACACACGTCTGTGCCACACACATGCGCGACCACGAGGCGAAGCGAGAGACAGTTTGTGACGCTGAATTACGTTTGTGCACATCGCAAACGAAGAGCCGATTCCAGAAATTGAGTTAAGTAGGTATTGGATTCTCCTTCCTCACGCTGACGCTCCTGCATATAAAACTTGTGCCTACAGACTTCTTTAATGAATAATTAAGTACTCTTGTATGGAATAGATGAAGTAGAGTATAATATAGTATTAAATATAAATATGGTCCACAGTAATCTACACACCTGCCAATCCGTCTCGCATTGTGGCGAGTTCACCCTCAATTCGTCGACCAGCTCAATTCGTGGGTCGAGATGACCCGCCTAGAGATCAGGCAGCTCGACTCAAGGGCTAAGTCATTTGAGATTATTAAATCTTTATTGCATATCATTCAAATACAAATACGTGTACTGAAAACAGTCTTTTACATGGGGAAATATGGAGAAAAAATTTATTTGTATATAAATATAAGTGTGTGGTATTTAATTAGGTATTCATTCTATTGGAGGCAATTTTAGTCGTTCTCCATTCTCGTAGCTGTGCCTGTCTGTCTATATGATGTAGCATTTTAGTGGAAATAACCTTTTATTATGTGTAGAGCATAATCATATAATAAATCATAATTAATCAACCAACAGACTGCGTGTAGCATGAGTCAAGCTGCCGATCTCCAGGCGGGTCATCTAAACCCACAAACCGATTTGGCCGACGTCCAGGCGGTACACACATATATGTGTGTGTACGTGCCTGAATTAATGTACTTACCTACACATGTACCTTAACTTTTATTAATATTTGCATGCACCTCAAACTTCTGATCTCAAAAGCTAGACAAGGAGATATGCACCTGATATCCGCCGACACCATAAGACGCTTTAAATCTCACAATTCAAGTAGAGGTAGGTGTTACTCGCTGCCACTGTACGCATCTATGTTAAACACACCTAACCATAGGTCTGACTGCCTGAGGTGACTATCTAGCTGGCATGTAGCTCAGGGCATATATAGGCCATTGACACATGCTGTTTCCGTCACGAGTCATATATAACTCTTCCATCGGGCCGCACCGATAAACCAGTCATCTGATCGTACATGTCTCATCCAATAACGAAATTAATTTCCCATATTACTAAATTGCGTATGGCACGTGGCTGTGCCTAGATATTCTTGGCATACATATAGCATTCACCAATATTATTATGAGGTCAATATCAGTGACACATAAATTGATAATATATATAATATATACCACACTAAAGTAAGGGTGTTAATCTTTACATAGAGATAACCTCACTACATAGCGGTACTACTAGCAATCTAAAGTAAGGTAGTAGCCAAAGACATGCGGGCACAAGATCTGTAATACACGCAATGCCAGCTATACTAGTAAAACATCGCCCCGCGATTGTCATGCTGCGAATCTACTAAACACAATACACAATGGTCGAATGATCGATCGCCGTGTTACTGCAAATTGAACAAAGACACGCAAGCAAGTTTGTAGTTCGGTGCAATATTAGAACCAAGATAAGGACCTATAGGATATAAAATCTCGTGCTATTCACGCTGGAGTGTACAACCTAAAGTAAAACAAAAAGTAAAAGTGATGTAGGGCTAGTGTTAGAAAGCGAGCAGTGAACCATGTGACGCGCGGATCCTAGCGCTTACACTTACAGTAAATAGACGCACAGACGCGAAATATCGCTCACCTGTCTAAGCTCTCGTCGTGGTCACAGTCACGGCAAGACGAGTGCCTTCGTTTCCGTCGCACCGAAACGTTCGAGTTGTTAGAGGTACGCGAACGCAGCACTGGATGGGTGGATTTATGCTGCTGCCCTAAGCCTAACCTCGCCGTTCCATTCAGTCTTGTCGCTCGCGTCAGTTTCATTGGCAATTCCTCGTCTGCGCCGTACATCTGGCCTCCACAATGACATCCGCGACTTAGTCCATTGTTCTTGATGAACGCTGCTAAATTTAACCCATGCCCGTCTGCAATATCTCCCATTTTCTCACTAGAGCTTTCCTCTTCTGTTCCCTCAGTTGCCGCCATATTCCCCTCTGACATGTGTGACGTCACGTGACGTCAACTGGCACGTACACGCGCTAGTAATCAACTTCGGAATTTGGTAAAAAAAAACCATTACAACGTTGTTTCTATTGTAAGAACATTATCTGAATTCCATACATTCATAGAACGAAATTAGTGATACACATTCTAGAATTCTAGCGCCTTAGAATATTATTAGCGTCTAGAAAAGGAATTCTAGGAATTCACATATCAGTCCACATGCACACACGCACACACGCGCGCGCCGCGCACGCACAGAACGAAATATAGATAGATATATACATAGATACATAGATAGATAGATAGTATTGATAGATTCGATACAATGCATATAGATAGATAGGATAGATAGATAGATAGGTAGATAGAGTGAGAGTAGAATAGATAATAAGATATATTAGAAGATCAGAATACCAGCTTGGAGTAAGAGTAATAAGCAATGATAAACCGGCTTACTTACATTACTGTAGTCACACACAAAACCCTGATGACCTACAGCCTATATAACTTAAAGAAATTTACAAGTATGTATAAATGCATTAAAAAAAAACAAATATAATTAATGTCAGTAGGGTGCCATTTTTTTACAAATATACAACATTAAAACCATTTATAGTGTGAACTTGGCGATGGATGGAAATAAAAATCTACACATGTAAATCAGTATATTCATAATACCTCTGCAACTTCCCTCTGTTCCGCACAGAAAATATATTAACAGGGTCACATGACAAGTGAGAAGAATGTATACAGAATCTTCAGACTGCTCGGAAGATTGGGCGCCGGTCCGGATTTCTCGGCAGTAACTTTTAAAATTCAATAACAGCATGTTTCATTATCAAAGACGAGGCCGTTTATACAAAATAAAGTCAACAACTTGACAAAAAGTAAACATCAAAATGCTTTGAAATCAATGTTTAAGTAAATGAAATTGTACAAGAAAAATACAGAACAAATGTATAGGCTCGACGTTATCTTAATACAAATTAGCATTATTTATTTTAGTTTTATTAAACAGAGAGTTAAATTTGAATTTCGAGAAGTCCGGATGTCTCGGGGTAGCCTCGAATTTTGGCATCTGATTTTTGGACTTCTACCTCTATACAGAAACGAACGAAAATACGAAACATATATGTAAAAAAATAATAAGACAGTACTATCTGTACGAAAGTTACATATATATTTCATAACACGTACTTGTATTTATGCTGGATATAGTTACATACATAATACAACAACAACCAACTGTAAAACTGAGTCTACGGACTGCATTGATTGTAGCATAGAATATGGCAACACACCTCTGCACCGCCTCATGTCATACAGGATAGTAATGTGAGATTCCTAGTCTGACAACACAAATGCAGTAGCCATGTGGAAGAATCATTTCAACATTAGTGAGTAACAGTGGAATAGGTGTGACAAGTGTGTCTGTACACGACGTAGCATGAGAATAGTAAGGTAACAAACCGCTGTCATCTAAATGTACATCAGGAATAGTTAGTGGGACAATTGTTTGTCACAGTGATGTAGCAGAGAATAGTAGGTGAACAAACGTCTGTCACACTAATGTGACATAGAATAGTTAGTGGACAACTGTTTGTCACAGTGATGTAGCAGAGAATAGTATAGGTGAACTAACTGTCTGTCACACTGATGTGACAATTGTCTGTCACATTGATATACCCATGGAATAGCATGTGTGACAAAGTTCTGCCACACTGATGTAGCACAGAATAGTAGGTGAACAAACCATCTGTCACACTGATGTGACATAGAGTAGTTGGTGTGACAACTGTCTGTCACATTGATATACCATGGAATAGTATGTGTCGACAATGTTCTGGTCACACTGCATGGTACACCAGAATAGCGTGAAGCTAAACTGTCCGTCGCACTGATGTGACATAGAGTAGTTGGTGTGACAACTGTCTGTCACATTGATATACCATGGAATAGTATATGTGACAAAGTTCTGGCACACTGATGTAGCACAGAATAGTAGGTGAACAAACTGTCCGTCGCACTGATAATTAGCATGGGATAGTAATTATCCGCCACACTGATGTATTAGTTGTCAAACCACTTGGACTTCTGCATATCATCCGCTCCCAGCTTACGACGATACTTGTTGATCAAGTGATCCAGACTATCGGACTTTTCGGGCTTGCGTTTTTTATTGCCTCCCCTCTTTCTCTTCTTTTTGTCCTGTTAAAAAAGTTAAGCCACATTCAGTTATGCTCTCCTGAAACTTGACTGTCATCAGAATGGGGTTGATGGCAATTTAGGATAGATTAGATGATTACCATTAGACGTCAGATAAGCAGGAATAATTAAATATTAAAGATAGATATAGCATATTTTAATTGATAACTTAATATTAATTTGCAAGTAGACAGGATAGAAAACTGTGTATAAGAGTAGAGGGATCATGTCACAGTATGAAACAACAAGGATGCATGAAAAATCCCCTGACAGTTGACAACAACAGTGACAGTAAAAAATGCCAACCACACTGACAATGACAATGAAAGTGACAATGCCAATGACACTGACAATGAGCGTTGTCGTGTAGCCTGCATGTGATGACACAGTACCTGCTGTGAATCTATGGTAACCGACGACACCTCGTCTGTCGTCTGCCTACGCACAACCGTCCTGCTTATCTTCTGCTTTGGTTTATTCCCCAGTTTCGCTTGGCCCTTGTTGCTGCAATAACGACCACGTGTCGACATCAGCTAAAGCTCAACTATGGAAACAACAATTTTTTACCAGTCTCGTCTGGCTTTTGTTCATTGCAATGATGATCTCGTTAGAATGTAAGCGAATGGTTAACTATTGCAACAACAATTTTTTGCCAGTCTCGTATGGCGTTTGTTCCTGCAATGATGACCTCATAGGAATGTAAACGAAAGGTTAACTATGACAACAACAATTTTTTGCCAGTCTCGTCTGGCTTTTGTTCGTTGCAATGATGACCTCGTTAGAATGTAAGCGAATGGTTAACTATTGCAACAACAATTTTTTGCCAGTCTCGTATGGCTTTTGTTCCTGCAATGATGACTTCGTAAGAATGTAAACGAAAGGTTAACTATAACAACAACAAATTTTTGCCAGTCTCGTCTGGCCCTTGTGGCTGCAATGATGACCACATTGCAACTTAAACAAAGGGCCAACTATGGTAGCAACAAATACTTGCACGTGCCCTAAAAGTCATAGGCCGCTGCTGTCATCATTGTTGCTACGACTGCTGCTGCTGCTGCTGCTGTTGTTGTTGCTGCTGTTGTTGTTGTTGCTGCTGCTGCTATTGTTGTTGTTGCTGTTGTTGCTGCTGTTGTTGTTGTTGTTGTTGTTGTTGCTGTTGCTGCTGCTGCTATTGTTGTTGTTGTTGTTGTTGTTGCTGCTGCTGCTGCTGCTATTGCTGCTACCACTGTTGTTGTTGTTGTTGTTGTTGCTGCTGCTGCTATTGCTGCTACCACTGTTGTTGTTGTTGCTATGGCTGTTGCTGTAGCTGTTGTTATTGTTGTTGCTGCTGCTGCTGCTGGTATTGTTGTTGCTGCTACTGCAGTCTATCTCCAGGAGACCCGGAACATGCTGAGGATTGCCGCTGAGGATGCGCACTACGTGACGTAGCGCACATACTACGCTACACTCATTTTACATGCGATCCCTGTGGGAGCCAGAATAATGAGCACTGCTAGTGCATCTACCTGCCTAGGTATGTGTGTGTGTGCGTGCGTGCGTGCGTGCATGTGTGTGAGCACGCGTTTGCGCATGCGCGTGTGCATGCGTGGGAGTGTGTGTGTGCACGTGCGTGCGCGTACGTGCGCGTGCATGCGTGCATGCGTGCGTGCGTATGTGCGTGTGTACATGCATGAGTGCGTGCGTGTGTGTGCGTGCCTGTGCGTATGTGTGTGTGTGTGCATGCACGTTCATTCCTTATGCACCTAGCTGCCTGTGCATGTGTCACATGCATCTGTGAGTGCATGCTCATGGGCACGCGTGCGCATGTCCATGCCTGTGTGTCACCATGTGGCATTTGCACATAGCACCACATACCGATGTCTGATCTTCGGTCCAAAATGTGACGGCAGACCCCGGGGCTTCTTCCCAGGCCGTTGTTGATCCGGTACATCACCAGTCGCTTCTCTCCCCTTCTGCTTCGACTCCATTGCTACAGCAACGTTCTTCCCTCGTTTGCCCTGTGGCTGCTGTGCCTCTCCCGACCTTTTGTTTATGACAGCTTGCTTAAGCTAAAAACAAATTGCACCTTGTCATGGCAACGGGTCTTAGCCACAAGTCTTAGAAAGGCAGCAGTTGACAGAGAAATGACTGCTCTGCCTAAAAGTTAAATCTATCTAATTGCAAAGTGGTGTTCAGATTTCTTTAAATATCTATGCCATATAATACTGAAATGAAATATTATTATTCAACAGCAACCAGGGCGAGTTATCAGAAATGGAATGCCTCACATTTAATATACACATAATTTTGTACATGATTACCTGACTTCTTTCTAGCCGCTTCTGTTGTGCTGCCAAAGCCACCGTATTCTCCAGTGAAAACTCGACTATTGGCCTCTGAATCAAAAAAGTTATGTTCTGTTATAAGTTATAAGTCTGTTATATCTACACCACTTGCTGCTTAATGACAGCCCAGCAAAAGTAGTGCCATATGGTAGCTCACCCTACTGGCACGAACTGTAATTATGTACTCTGTTATTTCCACTAACCAAATTTAAGACTGAGAACACACAAGCGGTGGTATGAAGCTAGGCATGTGATGGCACGAATATGAACTATTGTAGTAACTAGTAAATGTGCTGATATGCTCGTCATCTTGAACTTACATGAATGTAGAGGAAACAGCACAGGTAATATATTGGTGCTAGAGGTATGCAGCCCTACGAACTAAACCTGTGAAAAACATGGACCACGTGGAAAATAGAGCAAAACAATGTTCACCTTGTTGTTTGAGAAGACATCAGGCTTGTTGTTCACCGCATGTAGGGCAGCGAGAGCGTGCTTGTGTTCCGTGAACTCCAGGAACCCGTAGCCCAGAGATGGTGCCACGTTCTTGCTGTTGACGCTAGTGCGATCCCGCATGATTCGTGCCTGCAGCAATAAACATCAGCTCACAGATTCACAATGAACAGCTCCTCACACCGAAACAAGAATGCTTGCATATACATATATGCAGGAGTCTATCAATATATAATATATATTATATATTATATTGATAGACTCCTGATATATGTATATAATATATTTAATTTACTAAGTAATCCTAATGCAACCATGGTGGTTACATTCATAGAAAATGCTATTATTTTGGAATCCATGTTTGGTAAATCAACGATATCTTTAATGAGATACACAGGGATTATGGAAACAAAACTGCAGTGAGAAGTGGTGACAATACATGTCCTATCCTTTAAATACATATGCATTAGAAATAACATTGCTAACAAACATAACATATCAACTTTTCACAGTATAATATACAAACCTCTACACAAGTAGACACAAGTAAGAGAGGAGGTGGAAGAAGAAGAGAATGTGTAGGAGGAGGAGGAGTACGTGGAGGAGGCAGACGAGATGGGCGAGGTTGAGAAGAGAGGGGTCGGGTTTCAAACAATACAAATGCCACCGCCGACGTTGCAGATAGCCCCACGCTCCCTCACATCCCGCGACGACCGTCGCCGCGGCAACGCTCCCTCACGTCCCGCGACGACCGTCGCCGCGGCAACGCTCCCTCACGTCCCGCGACGACCGTCGCCGTGGAAACGCTCCCTCAGGTCCCGTGACGACCGTCGCCGCGGCAACGCTCACTTACCTTGACGACGCGAGCGTCAGCGCCGGCGCCACGCAACATGGCGTCCGACAGCTGCCGGTCGGTGACGGACTTGCCGAGGTTGCGCACACAGAGCCGCGTCGTCGAGACAAACACGTTCGTGTTCGCCAGCTTCCGCCGCTTACTCAGCTCCAGCTGAAACAGACGAACAGCTGAAACAGACGCTGCGGTGACCTGCAAGCGCCATCTACTGGCAGGGAGGAGAAACATGCAACATGACGATAAGCGGCCTTTTTTTTAGGAGTGTGAGCTGTACGTACGAGTTAGCCTGACAATTTTCTACAACTCGCAATGCCGACTCATTTGGAATAAAGCCAATCACGTTTATTGTTAGAAACATGTCTTCATCTACATTCAAATTATTAATGCATCATGACTTACCCTAATCTGAGACTAAACGTGACTAATAAACCATAACCTATGCAACTCCAAACTGATCACGACCAACAAACCACAGTGCATGCAACCGAACCCCGTAGCCACCAGTAGCGGCGGTAGTTTGCGCTACACCTGCTCTGCCCTCTCACCTGTTCTCTCTTGGCCAGGTCTGCAGCTGGTGTCCCCTCCGCTGCCTGCGTTCCACTCCTAATCACTGCACGACGAAACACACAGACCTGCATTACTAAACAGTTCCTGAGACCGATATTAACGCACTGAATATCTAGCAATGCCCCGGACAGCCATTGCCACCAGAATGCCCGGGTTCCTATTAAAACCACGACTTTACTAAAACCTAGGATCGGAATTACGATACGATAGTAGTGCTGTAAAACACCTTAACTCTTCTACAGTAACTAGAGGAGTGACCCCAGGAGTAATTACCACCGCCATATATGCATTGACCAAGGTCCAACAATAATGACCAAGAGTATGAGCCTATGAGGAATGTGGCATAATGAGATCTGGGCATTCTCTTGACACTTACTTCCTTCTCTCGCTAGATACAGATTCCTGTTATCCTTTGGCTCCTTCTTCTGGGCCTGCATCAGGTTGCTGGCTTTCTGCCTGCTCACAGCAGTGCACACCAGCAACCTACGCTTATCCAGAACTATCCCGCCATCCTGCAAGCAAACATGCCGAGATTCAGGAATGAGCAGTTAAAATTAGCTACATGTGGCTATATATTATCTATCTCTCAAGCATACACCAACAAAACCTCAGCTATACATCAGTTAAACATAATTTGGCCTAACATTAGCCATACATCGGCAAAACATTAGCTATACAAGGGTTCGAAATTATCTATATGTCAGCTAAAAAATAGCCAAAGATCGATAAAAAACTAGAAACGACCAGTTGTCGCCAACTACATGTATCCCCCGTGATCTAGTATGAATGGAATATCTTTGTAAGGACGTAGAAAGCAGGTAAAGTTAAATAAGTCACAAAGACAAAGGTTTGTTAGACAACTGGTCTGCCTCAGATGTGCAAGTATATGGAATACACACAGGGGGGAGGGGTATGGGTGCAGTGGTGCGTTATGGTAAAGCAAAGATGCCAATCGTTTTTGGTGTGGGCGGAGTCATCGTTGCCATGGTAAAAACATTTTTGTCGAAATATTGTAGAACCTGTAACTTGTGCTGTTTTTACCCAATTGTCATGGAATTTGGCACACAGGGCCGATATAACATGTCCTATATATATATATGTATATATATATATTTCATGACAATCATAAATTTAAATATAAATTTAAAATGGAAATTTTAATACAAATATAAATTTCATGACAAACGGGTAAAAACTGCAGAAGTTACAGGTTCTAGTATGTTTCGGGAAAAAATGTTGTTACCATGGCAACGATGACTCCGCCCACACCAAAAACGATTGGCGTCTTCGCTTTACAATAACGCACCTTCATGCGAAATTTGAAGATGATCGGAGAAGAACTGCAGCCGGTAGAGCATTCACAAGGAATTCTCTGCGGCGGCAGCGGCGGCGGCGGCGGCGCGACAATGCCAAACCCATAGTATCCCCACGAACTTCGTTCGGGGGATACAATTAGCTATATGTAGGCTAAACATTGGCTTGCATCAACTGAATGGTTTACACACAGCTGCTGTCCTGTTGCCTACACAAGTTTCTATATTTTTGCCTCTGCTAAGTGCTTACCCTTGACTCATCATTGGCTTTTTCTAAGCATTTCTCTACTGCCTCTTTCTCCTTGAACTGTACAAAACTGACACCTAGTAACGTAAAGTTATAAAATAGTTATAGTAGCACCATCGAGATATCTACAGATCTACTCATGCAGGTTACAGAACCACTAGTAGAAATTATGTATAGGGGTGCCATCTTTATGCGGCAACGGTAGTACTATACGCATGTCATGGCATATAATTGTGCATCTAACACATTTGGTTCTCAATGTTAGTTTCTCCGGATATCAATTTGTACCTTTGGAATGGCCTGTATCAGCATGATAGCAAATCTTCACAAATTGCACATCTCCAAATTCAGAACACAAATCTTGAACATCTTCTACCATGGAGTCATAGGAGAGGTTCCTGTAAGCGCCAGCACAAATTTATCGTATCCATCTGTGAGACTTTATGATTACAAGACAAACAAGCTGTTATCATTACAAGCTGACACTTCACCGCAGCAAAACGACAGAGATGTTATGTAACAAGTAGACTCGTATACACGGATAGCGACTGAAAAGATTACAATGATGACAGCAATGACGATAATGACAAAGATGAAGAAAAAGAAAGACGACGAAATGTAAAATCACCTGATGGAATATCACACATGGAGATATAATAATACGTATCAGATATGTTAAAATATTGAAGATTACTGATAAAATATTACCTGATGAAAACCGTTCTACCCTCTTCCACGTCGTTAGGATGAATGCTATTTTTGGGCTTTGATTTTTTCTTATTATTGTCGCTACCCTCTCCATCGCTCATGTCACTTTCTTCCTCCTCCTCCTCATCCTCCTCCTCCTCTTCTTCATCTTCATCCCCTTCCTCCTCTCCACTACTGTTGTTAGATTCCTTGGAAGGATGTGCCAGGTGTTTGTCTGCCGGCCCTTCATCAGAATCGCTGTCACCGACCCCATTGTCTCCTTGTCTCGTGTCTCCTAATTTGCTGTCTCCATGCCCAGTGTTTGTGTCACAGACCTTTTGCTCTGTAGGTGACCAACAAGATGGTTTTTGCTCACAACATGAGAATATTCTTAATAAGTATAGATTTTCTCACATCGTAAGAACATCATGAACGACTACAAAAGGTTTCTCAGAACACGAGCTCATTCTTAGTGACCTCACCAACGCACAAGAACGTACCTAACGATTACAAATATTTTCCATTCTGATTATGTTACAGGTACGTTTTTAGAAGTCACTGTTTTGAAACAGGTAGCAAGAGTATGACCTCCAAATATCTGCTTGGGTCATGCTGACTACATTTCCTTACCTTTCTGCACTATTGATTGATACTTGTCTTTGGACAGTGCCCAGTCAACTGCAATTTTTCGTCCCATAAGCTCCCGTGCGTTCATGCCTGTTATGGCTTTACTGGCGCTCTCTATGTTGGCAAACTGCACAAACGCAAAACCCGCTTTTTTCCCGTCTGCAAAAATGTGTCAAAGCAGGACCATGTCAATGAGAAATCGTCATTACGACAACTGGAAAAAAATAAAGTCATGATGTTCGAGCAGTCACCATTGTGACGAGTTATGACATAAGACATAGATAAGCCGATGTCCTGCGTACGTTTGCATTACATATATTATTCTTACAACATTATTAACAATAAGTTGACATTGGTTCTTAAACATGTAAACTTATTGATTGATCAAACGTTTGACAAAGAAATAACAGTGGTTAGTAGGTGAGAGAGAGAAGAAAATGAGGGGAGAGTTGTGAGGATAGATAATAAGTGGGAGGTAGGAGATCATGGGTGGGAGGTGAGAGAGAAGATGGTGAGTGCAGGGATAGATAACAGGTGGGAGGCGGATGAAAGATTGTAAGTGGGAACTGGAAGTGAAAATGGTGGGTGGGAGGGAGGAGGAAAGATAGTGGGTGTGAGGTAGGAAGGAAGATGGTGAGTAGGAGGTAGGAGTGGAAGATGGTGGGTGGTAGGTAGGAGTGGAAGATGGTAGGTGGAAGGTAGGAGGAAAGATCATGCGTGGGAGGGAGAAGAAAAGATGGTGAGCGGGAGGGAGGAGGAAAGACGGTGGGTGGGAGGTAGGAGGAAAGATGGTGGGTGGAAGGTAGGAGGAAAGATGGTGGGTGGGAGGTAGGAGGAAAGATGGTGGGTGGAGGTAGGAGGAAAGATGGTGGGTGGTAGGTAGGAGGAAAGATGGTGGGTGGGAGGTAGGAGGAAAGATGGTGGGTGGGAGGTAGGAGGAAAGATGGTGGGTGGGAGGTAGGAGGAAAGATGGCGGGTGGGAGGTAGGAGACAAGGTGGTGGGTGGGAAGTAGGAGGAAAGATGGTGAGTGGGAAGTAGGAGGAAAGATGGTGGGTGGGAAGTAGGAGGAAAGATGGTGGGTGGAGGTAGGAGAGGTATGATGAGCAGCTCTTTGACCAACCCACCTGGTTTCTTGGGCATAACAACCTCCACAACCTCACCATAAACCAAGAAGGCTTTCTTTAGATCTTCTTCTGTACACTGAAAATTCAGGAACACAGAATGCATGAACAACAGCAGTAGATGTACACAGGAATACAGACCGAACTAGAGCCCTCGGAGAGCGCAGACCTCCGCCAAGGCAGCTAAATTATCTCACTGTAAAAAATTGTATTAATTAATTAATTAAATAATTAATTGGATCCAGATCACCACCAAAATGTAATCAATTTTAAGTTACCCCATTTCTGACCTATCCTGAAAATTTTATTAATTAATTAATTAATTGGATCTGGATCACCACCAAAATGTAATCAATTCTAAGTTACCCCATTTCTGACCTAGATGCAGAAAATTTAATTAATTAATTGGATCCGGATCACCACCAAAATCTCATCAATTCTAAGTTAGCCCATTTCTGACCTATCCTGTAAATTTTATGACAATCCGTCCATAACTTTTTCAGTTAGGCTGTACACAAAGAACGGTGTTACAAACCCACAAACACATGCCGGTGAAAACATAACCTCCTGCCAACCCCTTGGCGGAGGTAATAAATGTAGGCACAGGTGGCAGGAAACTACAGCATACACACAACATGATGAGATACACTTCTTGCGTACGACTAGAATGTTTCGTTCATAAAAAATGTGAATGGGGGACCCACCATCTTCCCATCATCCTCCCATTATCCGGACCCATCATCCTTCCATCCCCTGGAACCATCATCCAGACTGGAACTGTGTCAGTACCTTGAAGGAGACGTTTCTCGCGATGAGTCTCATCCTCTTCAGCGATCCCGGATCCTGCGTGGGAGCCTTCCCCTCGTCCGCCAGCAGGAACGCCTGCATCCTGCAGCCTGCACAACGTACAAAACATGCGCGTGTCACCCACCGTAGATCCAGCCGTACCCCACGCCGGGATGCGCAAACAGGGGAGCCGCATAACATACGCGCGCGTGAAAAATATGAGTGTAGAGAGGTTAGCGTGACCGTGTATGAGCGTGAAATGTCAGCGCGGAAAGGTCAGACGTGACCATATAAGCACGTAATAATGCAAGTAGGGGTTAGCAACTTAGCGTGACTATATATGTGTGAGCATGGAATGTCAGTTTGGAGAATTCGGAGTAGGGGGGCAGGTGTGACCATATATGTGCATAATAACATCTGCACCAATGTGAGCATATATGTGTTTAATAATATATATATATATATATATATAATATATATAACAATAATATATCAGGGTTAACCTGGCCATATAATATCAGCAAATAAAGCCTAAAAAAGGTGGACAGAATTATTAATAATATCAATAATCGTTTTCATTGTTCTCTGTGGTGCATAGGGTGCATGTAATTGTATTTCTTTGGTTTTCATGACGTGGGTTGCTATATGGAGTGAAAATGATAGTATGCTCTAAGCTGACCAATAAAACAGTGCACATGCCAGCCCTATAAACAGCCGGTGGGTAGAGTTTTGGGCCAAACAGATGGTGCCTAATGGCACCTAAATGCCAGACCTTGTCTTTTTCAATTCGTGGGGGAGTGTCCCTTCTCTCACCTTTGAACTCCTGTCCATTAATCTTGCGTTTTGATTTGATGGCACTGCCTATAGTCCTGAATGTAACCATTGCCGTCGGCTGCTCTCTCCCTGCAGCGGGAAACTCAACCGACTGTAGATTCTTTTCCTTCCTAGAGAGAGGTATGCCAAACATTCTCATCAGAAACGCAACAAGTGCGGTCCCAGGAAAGGTTGCGCATGCGCGTGCCTGAATGTGTGCACGTGTGCACACGTGTGTGGGCGCATGTGTAAATGTGTCCATGCCTGAGTGTTTGTGTGACAAAGAAAAATACATGCAGACAGGACTTCTCAATATATATACCATAAAAGCATGCACATTTCCTACATACATACTTCTAACTCATATTCTCACCTAGACAGTGTACACCAGTCATAATACTCTTTAGTAATTACTGCCGAAAGGGAGGAACACGGAATGTACGATATACCTACCATAACTAGTTGCACATAATTCGATATAGATTGTTACGTACTTCAACTTGTTGTTAAGTTCATCACTGGAGATGCCATCGTTCAGTCCGAGGATGACCACAGTGGTCTTTCCTGCTGGTTTCTTGTCACCACTGCTGCTTGAAGAATTGATATTCGTTCCTGCACTACCTGCAGTTTCTGGTGCAACCTCTTCTACAAAATGAAAATGAGAAAACAATATTTCAAATCGTACATTGTACGTATAGTGGTCTTTCAGGATATATTTAATTAATCTATGTTTAATGCTTCTTTTTTACCCGTGTTTACCATTAACAGCTTTCTTCAGTCGTTTCTTCTTCGTCTCTTTGCTTGCAAACTCGATGAAGATTTGCCTGTTTCCAAACCTCTTGATTTCAATTATGGCCTTCTCTGCATCTTCCCTGTATAGCAAACAGGTTTAGACACAATCAGTTACATTGGCTTACTGTTAGTTACAGCAACTATTATGTACAGTCACTATACCAAGTAATGGTCTAATACAATATCATCACTGCTACATGTCACGTGTCTGATTCCAAGTTTGTGAAGTACATTCATAAAGCTTCTTTGCTTTATACCGCCCAAATCAGATGATTTCTCAAAAGTTATTTGCATTTGATAATGACTTAAAGTATGATTATACTGATATTACAATTGCCTTTTCCAATTTCAATAAATATAATAATTTATGTGCATGCCATCTTAGAAGATCCCTTATCTGATCATTATCAGTGATCTGCCAAGATAGCATGCATAAATTATTGCATTATGCACAAGTTGGTAAAAAAACACTAGTTTACCTTAACGAATACGTAACGTAGGCAAACCCTCTGCATTTGTCAGTTCCTAAATTCGCAGGGGAAAAAAACAGTAATTGTTAACAAACCATCGACCTAACACGGACTGTTCGTACATGCGCATGAACCATGTTATTACAAATTCATAATTATCATAACAAACCATTCACAACTTGTAAACCACTATTACAAATTACTGTGTGCAAAGTGATTGACTAAAACTAAAAGCATGACTAGTCAATTCGCCCTCCCATGCTGCACTTATCTGCAAATTGCTGTATGCTACTGTACACTGTTATTGTTGCGCTATGATTATTGGGTATTCTAAATGGTGATGGCATAAATAAATGTTGGAAATCGGAATGTTATTACTGTGGATTGCAGTAGAATAAGCTTCAAATATATTTTAAATTATAGATATTTTATATACTAAAATTATATGGCGTATAATCAACATGAAGCATTTAAAATTACCGTAGTAAAGTTTTTTTTTAATTCCTGCCGAGCATGGAGAATGTCAACGATTTCGGTATATTGACGACTATGCCAAATTGGTTTTTGTGATATTTTGATTGCGTTTATTTACTTTTATTTATTTATTAATTTAAAGATGGTACATTGGTAACAGATATATCAACATGAACTTGCAAGCTCATCACCGGCAGTGCAATAAAAAAACAGTTCTTACAATTCAATTATAAGAAGTAGGCCTATACAAACATTCAGTTATATATCATGTATGAATGATGATCTTCATCTTCGTTCTGAATCTTAGGTGAGTTCATCTGTCAAATCATGTATTGTGACCTGTCATTCTCATATCTTCCGTTGTACACTGTATGTATGGGCTACGGTCAACTCGGCCCACCAGCCAACTCGCACCGTGTGGCGAGTTCACTCGTCTGGAGATCGGTGAGCTCGGCTCGTGGGATGAGTTCACCCTCCTGGAGATCGGTGAGCTCGCCTCGCCGGCTTACTCGTGAGATGTTTCAGACGCCCCAACGTCGAAACGTTTGCATAGGCACTTGCATCTCACGAGTTAAGGCCAAGACACACTGCAGCGACAGCGACCGACAGTCACGACAAACAACTTTTCAGAAAATTAGAAACTATTGTTTCCTATGAGCCATTGCACACACACGCGACAACGACCGGCGACGACCTCGACGACAAAAATATTTAGGAACGTTTCTATTCTCCAGCGACAGTCGCCAGCGACACTTTACAAATAGCCAATCGCAGCTGTTTTCATCAGCACGTGACATTTCGATTACGTCATAAATAACCCATAATGCTAGCCAAGACGTAGACTGGTCTTCGGCGCTAAACTTGCGACGCATGTCACAAACAATGGGCCCGCGAACCAGTCTAACCAAAGCGTGCAGCTGTGGCAAGCTACGGTCACTGTATGACACAGTAGGTACAGTACATGATAATTTGCTGCGTATATTTTACTTTATTATCTTATCCTTATACCTAGAGACTTTTTGCAGCCAGTCATTTAAAAGCAGCAGCAGGAGTTTTGCCGTTTGTTCATGTGATGATGTGTACCACTGTCGCGAGTGCTGGGTGAACTTTGACCCAACGTCAGTCGCTGTTGCTGCAGTGTGTTTGTGCCAGTCGCCGCAACTTTTGTCGTCACCACAGGCACTTGGAGCGTTTCAATAAAATATAATGCTAAATAAATACAAAATCTATTTACTACCAAAGTCTTAAATTAAGACTTAATGTTTCTATATTCTCTTTCACCTATTATTGCCGACAATTTCCTGCAAATGACGTCCAAATGCTCATCTGCAACAAACACTTGCTGCCGCCATGGCTGCCGCTGCACACTGACACATAAATATATAGCAGATAGGAAAGTGTGCTGCCAAAATTCGCTCGACGCTCGCTTGATTTCACACGAATACAACACAAACATTCAACCATTCTACTCCAGCTTTGTTTCTATTTGAAGAACAGTGTTCACTTGTTATAAAAACATACTGTCTGTGTTCATAACCGAGCTGTGTCACGCGAAATCACACAAAGCCTGAGGAAATTCTCGCGTTCGCTCCCGTTGCGCAGTTTATGTAAACGGCTGCAAGTACAGGGCTATAGGCGGCGCACTGCATTTTGGGAAGCTAACACGCTGCTTTCCAACTCCTGTACAAGCCGCGTCAAAGCCGCCAGTGGAGCGTTGCAAAAACGTTGCAGCGTTGCGGCGCATAAATGAGGTCACAAAGAGCGCCGGTGGGTGTTTCCTGATTCTGACAGCCATTTACATAAACTGCGCAACAGGAACGAACGTGAGAATTTCGTCAGGCTTTGTATGATTTCGCGTGACACAGCTCGGTTACGAACACAGACAGTATGTTTTTATAACAAGTGAACACTGTTCTTCAAATAGAAACAAAGATGGAGTAGAATGGTTGTATATTTGTGTTGTATTCGTGTGAAATCAAGCGAGCGCCAAGCAAATTTTGGCAGCACGCTTTCCTACCTGCTATATGTCAGTGTGCAGCGGCAGCGGTGTATGTTGCAGATGAGCATTTGGACGGCATTTGCAGGAAATTGTCGGCAATAATCAGGGCTCGAAATTCAGAGGTAATCCGCTAATCCGTAGTGTAAATTACCCTACGGATTACATGAGGAACCCTGAAGGAAATCCGTACAGATTACTTAAAAATAACTTCCCGTTACAGTGCTCCTTCCACCTCTGCAATTATCTTTGTCTTAAAATCATTAAATGTACACAGAGCAGACACAGAGCCTGTGGTGTCAGAGCGATTATACAGAATTTCAATCAACTATCTGACAAATCTGTACATACAATAAAATGCTGAGCTCCCAACGCTAAAACAGTAATGTTTAACTTTAAGGTATTTTATTCAGGACAATTTGTCATGCATGCAATTTTTTCTTTCATAGTAAAATTAAGCCTACCCTGTACGGATTACTTAGATTTTGAGCGGATTTGCTCATTTGTGAATGAACAAATCCGTACAGATTAGTACTCAAACTGGGGAAATTCGAGCCCTGAATAATAGGTGAAAGACAGTATAGAAGACTTTGGTAGTAAATAGATTTTGTATTTATTTAGCATTGTATTTTATTGAAATGCTCCACGTGCCTGTGGTCGTTACGGTCGGTCGCTGTCGCTAGATGTGTCTTGGCCGCTTTAGCCGGCGAGGCGAGCTCATCGATCTCCATGAGGGTGAACTCATCCCACGAGCCGAGCTCACCGATCTCCAGACGGGTGAACTCGCCACAATGCAGGTGCGAGTTGGCAGGTGGGCCGAGTTGACCGTAGACCGTATGTAAGCCTATGTATGTGGCTAACGGTCCATTAGGCATTACTGCATTAGGACTAGGACTAGGAGTGTTCCCAACTTTGATATCATTAATGATTAATGATTGATAATCCTAACCCTAACCTAAATGACATTAGACCATATATATATTATATGTTATTATGACCATTAATGACATTAAAGTTGGGAACACTCCTAATGACAATGTAATAGAGTATCACCCATGCACAAATAACCGTATGCACAAATAAACATCTTTGAATCTTGAATCTTGAGTTGCATGATCTTAGTCTTACCTGTTTCCTTAACTAC